CTGCGGCCCGGGTGGCTCGTCGCGACCATGTGACCACACATCCTGCCCATGGAAATCCGTGCAGAGGCCACGTTCAAATAAACAAGAGGTCGTGTATCTGTTCGTGGTGTTTCTCTGACAGAAGTGCCTGGAGTGAGGGTGGCCTTTTGCCGGTTCCCACGAAGGCAGCGTCTAAGCTACTGATGGCCCTGCTGTCAGTATTATTGAATCTTAGTGACTCTTTATTTAAAATAGGCCTTTGCAGCCACTCAGGACTATTTGTATCATTGCAGCCACATTTTACGGGAATGTTAACTAGAGGCCCACAGCCCTTTCCTCCAAAGACCTCAGGCAGTTGCAGAGCGCAGCCTCCAGACAGCCTTTCTCCTAGGATGCCACGGGACGCTCCTTCCCATGACGATTTACAAGAAGGCCTCACGCGCATGCTAAGAATATGGCTCATTTAGCAAGAAAATCACATCCATTCGTTGTAAGAGGTCAATTTCTAATTTTAGAGAAAGTAGAACTTGTTTGTATGTCTCTCCTGGCAAACTGGGGGAGGGGCACTGGCTTCCAACTGTCCGAGGTCCAGGAACTAGGCCTGGGCATGAACTGGCTTGATTTTGTGATCAAAGTCATTGTTAAAGCATTCGGGTCTATTTTGGCTGGGAGAATCCCACTTTAGGAAACAGATGGGTTCCTATAAATGAGGAATCCAAGGGCTTCAGGCACAGCTGCATCCAGGAGCTCTCACAGTGCCATCAATACCTAAGGAGGCCTCTCCACTGCTCTGCTCTCTTTCATGTTGCTGGGCTCTCAGTGGCAGCCAGATGGCTCCCATCTACCCCTCGGCAATCTTACTGTAAAGAGGGCACATCTCTTTCTCCCAGCTCCACGCCAATCCCTGAAACAGGTATAGGGCTCTGACTGACAGACCCAGGTCACATGATTAACCCTCGTCTCTCTATGGGGCTAAAATTAGTCCCTTCCCCAACCATGTGGCTGTTCCCCAAAGGAAAATCCCAGTGCCTTTCGGGAAGAGGGGGAGTGAACGTCAGACCCTAGTAAGTTTTCAAGAGAATCCCAAGAAGTTAGGACACAGCGCAAGCAAATGATGGGATGGGAGCACAGAGCTGCAACTGGGGATGAGAGTGGCAGCTGCGGTCACCTAGAAGGAATGACAGGGTCCAGGCGGTCGGAGGAGGCAGAGGGGGAGGGAGTCTTCAAGGGTCAAGAACAACAGAGCCCCTGCAGAAGGAGCTCAGGGTCAGCGCCACCAGTCCCCGTCATAACATCAGCCCTGGCTGCTGGGAAAATGGGGCTCCTTTCAAAGCCAACAGCAAGCTGGACAGGCAGGGACCCAGGGGGCCCCCACCGCATGATGACCCATCATGTTCCATACACTGCAATGACCCACATCCCCCATGCCCGGAACCTGCTACCTGGGGCTCCTGCAGAAACAGCCAGGTCCTGGGGAGGCCTGGGAGGGGCCCCGGCTCTGGTCATTCAAGTGCAGCATGTGCTTCAGGGAAAGGCGCCCTGGTCACAGCTCTGCAGTGACATGGTCATCTATGAGACATACACACACACACACACATAGACAGAAGTTATGTGGCCCCAGTTCCTGCCTGTGAGTGGCTGCTGCACCCCGTGTGACTCTGGGGCATGAAGATCGACATTTTGGCTTCCCCCTGCCCCTACGCTTAGCTCGCAGTGTGGACTATGGCAAGGGGCAACCTGTGCTGGCCACAATCTCAGGTTCTCAGGCGCCATGGTGGCCTCACACAGCTCTTGCATCCTGTGCTGGCTTTGGACCGCAAGCCCTCCTCTCCTCTATCCTGCTCCTGGGTGGCTCCCAGTGCCCTCATCTCGTAGCACTGTGTGTGAAGAGGCGCTGGGGTTACAGAACAAAATGTTTATTCTATCTGGTTATGGTACAAATGTGGCCCCAACAACGTCAGACTGTTACCTTCTTCTTGGGTAGTCCCCCTTCTTCTTCAGATAGTCCCCCTTTTCAGGGCGCTTTCCCGTTGTAAATCCCTGTTTCGAGACTCTCTCGTGGTGTGGTTGCTGATCACCATCTGCCGAAGGCTGCTGTGGTCCAGGGGCTGCTCCACTGGCCAAAAACGAGACCCGGGTGAGGAGTTTGGAAATCGAGCCCAACACTCTTCCTTCCCAGAGACAGTGCCTCTCTGCCTCATTCATGGGTGCCCAAGGCAAGGATGTCCAAGCCTGGTTTGGGGTTCCTCCATGATGACCATTCTCAAGGTTTAGGGCAGAAGAAGACAGGCAGAGATGTACTGCTCAGGGATGCCTGGACCTGTTTTCTCCCAGGTGAGTTTGGTTTAATCTCAAGGAGAAAGGGCCGCCATGCGCAGCTGTTCAGGGCGTAGATGCAAAAAGATGCCAGGTAGAGACGAATGAATGAATGGGCTGAAGTCCAGCCCCCACCTGATTGCCAAACCATGTCTACCCACCTTTTTCTAATTAATGTGCCCAGAGGGGTGCCTCTTCTAACTCACACACGTGAGCCATCAAGGCTAGTGAGCTGAGAGAACCCAGTGTCGATCAGCATCCCCTCGCACAGAGGGGAAGGCATCTTCCGTGAGCTCCTGACCTTGTGGTCTACGCCCCGTCAGCCCCCTTTTAGGAACTCACAGCGCCCAGGGAAGCTGTGCTAAGGTGGTGGACACCCGACCCAGCTTTCGCTCCTGCCAGGCTGCAGATGCCTCGGCTAAATCGAGCAGAAGCGTGCCCGCACGTGCGCATGCGTGCTGGCAGTCCGCGCCCTCCTTGGCACACCTGCGCACTTCCAACGCTGCTCGGAGAGGCGGCGGAGCGTGCGTTTTCAAAACCTGCTTTTTTCTCTGATTACTAAAGGGACACAAGGTCATTGTAAAAAAAAAATTTTTTTAAACAATACTGAATTGTTTAACTCAGAAATGTCAAGTTCTCTGCAAACTACCACCCAGAAGTATCCACCCTAATGCAGTCTATACACCCTCTGTGTTCTCATGTGCAGAATGGAGGTATCTCCCCCTTTCCATCCCTCAGCTTCCCTCCTCCTCATCTCTCTCCCTCTCTCTCTCTCCCTATTATCTATCAGGGTTATGAAGGCCAGTCCTGTGCATTGTACGATTGTAGGATTTTAGCAGCATCCCTGGCCACTAGATGCTAGTAGCACCCCCGCCCCTCCAAGATGTGTCAGCCAAAAATATCTCTGGACGTTGCCAAAAGTCCCCTGGGGAGTAAATCACCCACTGCTGAGAACCACTGAATATATATATACCATACATATGACATTATATACCATCACATGCTTTATAGGGGCTACAGAGTACTCCACTGCATGTGAGGGTGAACAGTAGCATAACCAATCTCATGGGTGGGCATTTCAGTCATTTCCGGTTTGCGGCTGCAGTGAACACCCTCCCACCTTCATCTGAGACCCCACAGGTGAGATTACAGGCTTACTGGGTGTATCTGACCTCCAAAAGCCAGGTGGGGTGGATTTTATCCCCAGCTTCAGAGAGAAGGGCCGGCTCCCCCCGTGACAGGGGGTGTCATGAGCTTCTGCCTCCAAAAGTAAGGAAGATCAATGGGCCGATGTGTGAAGGGCCACAGTTAAGGCTTCTGGACGGGATGGGGCCAAGGGAGGTCATGGGTGGAGTGAGACTCCAGAGCATAGGGTGAGACTGAGAGATGAGATCAGGGAATCTTGTGAGCCCCTAACTTGCCAATTTGGAAATTTTGAACATTTTAAGGCTCATTTTAGATGGTCACAAAGCCTTTGTGATTTTTAAAAATATTCAGGATAGCCTGGCTGGCGAGGCTCAGTGGTTGAGCATTGACCTAGGATCCAGGAGTTCATGGTTCAATTCCCGGTCAGGGCACATGCCCGGGTTTCAGGCTCGATCCCCAGTAGGGGGCGTGCAAGAAGCAGCCGATCAATGACTCTCTCTCATCAATGATGTTTCTATCTCCCTCTCCCTCTCCCTTCCTCTCTTGTGAAATCAATAAAAATATATTAAAAATATATATGTATCCGGGATAACGAAATTTCAGGACCGGTGGCTCGGCCATTGGGCCAAAGGGAAAAGCGTCACTAAGAGAACCATGTCAAGTGGTCACCATCAGCGTGGCACCCAATGAAAGTGATAGGCTCATAACAAGGGGGAAACTGAGGCTCAACATGGCAGACCCTCGTGACCACAGGCTTCCTAGGAGCCCTGAGCCAGATCTGGGTAGAAAGAGAATTCACCTTCATCCAACTTGTCGCTGAAGGGGTCAGTGCTGAACACTGGGGGGATGGCCTTGATGGGCTCTGCACTCTTGAGGATGGCAGAGCTGCCCCAGAAAGGGTTGATGAAGGCTGGCGGAGTCTCGGTCTCCACCCCTTCTATATCCAGGATCCGCTTGTAGGACTCTAACAGCAGCAGGTCGTTGGTCTTCTTTTCAATAATGGCTGGAAAAAAAACAAGGTGGTCAAGATCACTGCCAAGAGACCCGATTGAAGGTAATATCGGGGTGGCGCCCCCTGCTGGAGAGGAAGGGAAGGAACAGGACGTGGGAGGTGTCATGAGTTCCTATGCGGACAACGGCTTTCTCTTGGGTTACACCATGCATTCTTCGGGGGGGAGTATCACCCCAAAAGGGTTCTTGAGAGGCAAAAAATAAACCGACTCTATAAGGTATAAAGCACAGATAAACATACAGGACATAAACAGCTACACAGTATATCACAGTGTTACATTTTTATGAGGATGGGCAATTAGGGAAAGAGTGTCTAACAAGGCTCCCTGGAAGGCGACCATGAAAAGAAGGTTGAGAAACACGGGGTTACAGTAAAAATTGGAAGCCACAGGCTGCCCTGCTTTAAACAGCTGCCTTTTCCTCAGTGCTCGCTCCGTCTCAGGCTTCCAGGCCTTTGCTCATGCTGTTCCTTCTGCCTAAAATGCCGTTACCTTCACTCTTCCCTGAGTAACCCCTACTGGTGTTTTAAGACTCAGGTTAGGCCTTGCCACCTGCAGGAATGTTTCCCTGATCTGCCCAGGTTGGGGGAACTGCCCTTCCCACTGTGTTACATAGCCCCATGCAGTCACCGGGGTCATTCATTCATTCATTTGCTCATTCATTCATTCATTCCGCAAATGATTGCTGGATGCCTACCAGCCAGGCACTGTGGTAGAAACTGTGGATGCATAGAAGGAAAAATCCAGTAACAACAAACCGGCAGTCCCTGGCCTGAGAAAGATAATTTCTTCCTTTCTTTTGATGAAAAAAACTAAAGCACAGAGAGGTTCAGAAAGCTGCCCAAAGTCACCCAGCTTGTAAGAGTAGAACCTTACATGTCCACATGCTTCACCATCAGACTCACTGCCACCAAAAAATCCAGTCCTCTGGTTACAGAGAGCTCTGGAAATGGTCCCAAAGAGTTTAACGGGCCCCAGCCTGACTCACCAAAATACTGTGGAAGGTTGATGTTGGTGATTTGCCCTGTCTCCCCTAACTGCACCAGGATCTTGGTGGCATCACAATTTATTTTCTTAAAAAGATTCTCCACCGAGCGTGTGAGCTTCTCCAAGGTCTCGTGGATCTCCTTGTAGCTGTTCTCGTACGTATCTGCCTCTTCAGTGGTCTTCTTTAGCTTCTCCTGGTGGCAGACCCCGATTCCCACCCCAGGTCAGCCCGGCTGCCACCCTGGGGTCAGCCCATCCCTGAAGACTTTTAGTGGGGGTGAGGGTTCAGGGGCCCTCTGGGGCCAGGGTCTCCAAACTGCAGGTTTCCAAACCTCGAAGGGGGCGCGAGGTCAATTTAACGGACCTCAATCAGCATTTTAAAAAATGAATTAAATAGAACAGGAAAGAAAGAGAAAAGTGCTCGTATGCATTACAGGTATTAGGGTATTATTTAGTGTAAGTTTTATTTCACTTACATATGTGTATGTATGTCTACATGTGTACTGGGTTAGTTTTGGGTTTTTTTAATTGAAAGCTGGTTTTTTAAAAAATCCTGGCCCACAGGAAGAAATACATTTTATATTTGCAGCCTAATGCCTACCTACCTACATACTTACATGTGCCTGTATCTAATAAAATGAAGTTTCAAAAATCCATATTCTTATTGTGTACTCTAAATATTTTTCTATTGTGTTCTTTCTATTCTGTCTTGTTATTTTTATATGCTGGTGATCGGCCCATGATGATGGTCAGCCTCTCTGAACCTGTTTCCTCATCTGTGAAATGGAGCACCTGCCTCATAGGGCTGTCGTGAGGATTAAATGAGAGAGTGCGAGCAAAGCACTTAGCCTAGGACCTGGTATGTAGCAACTGCTCAAGAAAGGTTTGTAGTAACTATTATTGATCGAGAACAGGCTACAGCCAGGACAAGGGGGGAAAAGAAGACTGAGACAGAATTCTGCAGCAATACCTGTAGCAGAGTCTGCCTATGACAAAGGGTCAGGACCCGTCAAGATGTGACTCAGGCCAGTAGAGAGTCACAGAGCAGGGATCTTACTCCTCCTGAGAGCCAACTGACTGGCTGCCTGACAGACAGAAAACGGAAACTCCTGTGTCCCTCCCTCCCCTTCCCAGTCTTACCTCCAGCTTTCTCAGGACAGATCGGTCATTATCCTCCGATGTTTGCTTCTGGGACTGCAAGCGGATGATCTCATTCTGCTCGGGAGAAAACCGACCATGAGGAAAAGTGGGTGCTCCCCCCACCCTGCCACACCTGGAAATGAGCCTGTGCCTCAAGGAGTTTCTGAGGATTTAAATTATCCAACCCAAGGAGCCCAGAACCCCTGAGCCCTTCTTATGCCCCTGGAGGCTTCCTAGTGGACAGAACAGTGAGGGCATGGGAGGGCGGATGGCTCATTTTTTCTGGATAAATGTCTAGAATAGTGTGGCCAATAGAATTTTCTGTGATAGTAGCAACGCTCTGCCTGCACCATCCAGTACCCCAGCCTCAAGCCTCACACGGGTACTGAGCACTTGACATGTGGCTGGTGCCACTAATTTTTAAATTTAATTTAAATTAGTTTAAACTTAAATCACCACAGGCGGCTCCAGAGCAGAGGTCCTGAAGCTCTAGCGTGAACCAGAATCACCTGGAAGCTTGTGAAGACACATCCATCCTAACGCCAGAGGCGAGCTGTGTAGCTAAGAGGGGAAGTGGTGAATGGGAAAGATCTAGGTCAGTTCTGTTTGGGAACCATTCCCCAGCCAGGTCAGTCTCCGCCTGGAGTCCTCAAATCACTCTCTATGGCTTGTTTCTGTCACCCCATTGGGACTGGAAAGGTGCTCCTTCCAAGAATGAGAATTCTGGGTCCTGCCAACTCTCAGCCCATCCTTCCATGTTCCTGCAGATCTCTTTGCATTCAAAGGCCGTCCGGGAAATACTGCAGACGGTCACCAGAGGGCAGTGGCGAAGCACCTAAGCTGGAGCTGGCAAACTGGACCCCAGCGGGTCTGGGTGACAGAGGGCAGGAGGGCAGCGAGGGGGGATTAGAGGGGATCAAGCTTCCCATAGGAAAGTGGGCACGAGTTGTCAAATCAGATTTTCCAAGAGAAGTGAGAAATCCAGAGTTTTATGTGGAATATCTTGATTTTTAAATGCTGGCAACAAATAGATTTAAAATTTTGGAGGTGGGGAAAACCAGGCAAAAGAGTGAAGGCTGCATACATCCAGTTTACAACCTCTAACCACAGCCCTCCAGGCAGGGGTGAAGTCAGACGTTAAAATTCTAATTTTTTTTTTTTTTTTTTTTAACCTAAACCCTACTTTGATGCCACAAGCAAGGCCACAAGGTAAGGTCTCAGATACCTCTTCCAATGGATCAAATTTTGCTTATTTTATTATGTCGATCATTATTTGTTTACTATTATTATAAGTGATTATTACTTATCACACTAATAATATCTAAGTCACAAGTTTGCTCTGCAAGCTCTATTTTTTGCTAATCCTCATTAAAATTAACTCATCACTGGTAAGTTAAAAGTTTCATCTGTGTCTTCTAGCTCTTATCTACTTGCACATGGCCAGCATATGAGCCCCACACTCAGGAAACAGTGACATTACAAAAGGAAGTGACTCCCCTTGTCACATAAACAGAGCACTGGGACCTCAGGGGGAATAATGAATTCCCAGGGGAGGTGACATTGGTGCAAGGTCGGGACTAATGATCAGTATTTCATCAGAAGAAAAGCAGGGGTGTGGGGAGGGGGAAAGAGCACAAGGAAAGCCTCAGAGGAGGGAAATGCCCGGGGACGGAGGGGACTAGCAGCTGCAGGCGGTGCCTTGAGGGTCGTGAAAGGAGCTGATCCCGCAGGGGCAGGTCGAAGCCAGATTTTGAAGAGCCTGGAGCATCACTCTGAGTTTAGATTCTATCCCTTGCACACATTCCAAAGGCTGTTTATGTATCCTCTGGGGAGTAGGGAGCCTGGGAGCCCATGAAGTTTGGGAAATGAAGGGGTTCAAAGAAGGCAAACAGGTTTCTTTACCACACGACTTGTCAGAGCATTTACTATGCTCATGTACATCAAGACCCTCCAAGAGGAACTGACCGTCTCTTCTCAATTCTGTGAAGCTGTTGATGAACAGAGGTCGGCAAGGTTTTAAGGCAAAGGGCCAGATAGTAGATATTTCAGGTTTCATAGGCCACGTATGTGGTCTGTCTTGCACATTACTTTTATTCTTTTTCTTGTATCCCTTTAAAAATATAAAAGCCTTTCGTAGCTCATGGGCTGCGTAAAGACAGGCCACAGGCCATATTTGGCCATGGCTATAGTTTACTGAACCCTGGCTTATTAAACATGCCATGGATTATAAATGTCACTTGAAGTGAGGGGACATGACCACATTAAGTGTGTATATCAATTGAAAGACAAATACCATTTGAGAAAGGGTAAGATGCGGGGGGGGACACTGGGAGAAATGTAGTGTTTCCCAAACTGATGTGACCCTGAGCCCCCACCAGGAAAAGCTGCTGTGGGAGCGGGCGGGTCGCAGGCCGAGGACAGAAGGGCCGCCCTGACCTGGATTTTCTCGGTCTTCTTCTCCATCATCTCCATGTCGTTGTTGAGCTCCGTGACGTACGTGAACCAGGCGAAGTTCTTGTCCTCCTTGGCCAGAAATTCGTCGATGAGATGATTCATGTCCCCATCCTCAGTCAGCTTCATCAGCCGGAGGTGCGCCACCTCGTAGCTCTCGAAACTCTCACCCTTGCTCTTCTTCCTGTGCTTCTTCGCCTTGAGGACTAGGAAGGAAACCCCTCGACAGTGAGTCTGAAAAGGAAGGCGCTCGGGGCAGCGCCCAGCAGAGACGTGCTCTGTGCTTATTAGTATTGTGCCTGGGGGGAGGCTCAGCTGTCCCGGAGGATGGGGCAGGAACTTCACTCCTTAAATATCTTAACTGAACACCTACTATGTGCCAGACACTGAGCTGGGCTCTGTGGATACAAAAATCTTTGCCCCATGGAGCTTTGGTGGAAGAATCAGACTAAAAAAAATAAAGAAAAAGAGAGAGCCAACTAAACAGAAGAAAAAATCCAGTGACTCCCATTGTGGTTTGTGCAATGGAGGAGACCCATCAGGTGCTGCGATGGGGGAGCTCGATGGTCAGCGAAGTTCTCTCAAGGGACAAGACACTTGAAATTCAAGGAAGCCCTGGGGACAGAGGGCCCAAGGCAGGCTCACAACTTGCCAAACTCATTCAATTAGAACCAAGAAAGCTCTCCAAACTTTCATCTCTCCAGCCTGGATACCTGCAACAGCCCCAACTCTCCTAAACACAGTCTTATCTTTCTGATTTGGCTCCCACTGGGCAATTAGGAGGCTCTTTCTATATCTTTCTAGGCACATCTGGTCACATGACCCCTTTACATGCTACGAATCCCCATTATCCTTGGGCTGAAGCTCAAGCTGCTCAGCAGGGTTTAAGATCTGGCCCCCTCTACCCTCAGGAGAGTGTACCTTCCTTTTTAGCCTGCTCCTCGAACTCCATGCGATCGTTCAGCTTGATAAGCAGGAACGATTTGAGCTTGGTCTCGTGGGCATAGACACGCTCCAGCTCTCGGATCTCCAGGTTGTACTGAGAAATGTCCTTCTGCTGGCGATCCTTCATGGCAGCCATTCGAGCCATGGCTTCCAGTCTGGGTGAAGGGGGGGAAGAGCCTGAGGGTCCAGGGGACCCTCCCTTCTCCTCCCTTCTCTCACCAGCCCAGAGGGACCTTCTGCCAATTACCGTCACTTCTTTCAATCAGGGAGTGGAGGAACAACCCTCTTGACCTGAATGACAGGATCCACCAGGGCTAAGCCACCCCCAGGAAATTATTATTCTATCACCATCACCACCACCACCACCATTATCGTCACAACCGTCAACATCATCACCATCAGCATTATCACCATTATTGCCACTTGTCACAGCTAAAATACGTCTTTTGCCCCTGTGAGTGCAAAGCCAGGAGACAGCCCAGACTGAGGGGGACCCCTAGGACTAGAGGCAGGGTCCTCTGGAGGAGATACTATAGCACAGAGATTTGAATCTCAGCTCCACCGTACCTGTCATATACCTAGATCTCAGGTATTTTGGCATCTCTAAGCCTCCACTTCCTGGTCTGTAAAATGGGGAAATAACTCCTATGGCATTTGTGAAGGTTGAAATATTACCCAAAGCACCTAGCATCAGGCTTGGCACACAGTCAGTGCTTATTCAGTTATTATGATGTCAGAATAACTGACAAAAGTCAGTTATCATAATGACTTAAGATTCCTCAACACGTAAGCAAAGGAGGCCCAGAGTGGGCAGTTAGATGCTCAGCAGGGCTCTGAGACGTTTTTGCCCAGGGTCTGTCCCTCAGCGCACCTCTGCTCGTAGGCCTGAGCAGACAGCTCAATGGCCACATTCATGGTTTTCTTCTGCATGGACAGGCGCTGATGCAGGTGCTGGTAGGCGTTGTCGTAAGCTGCCTTCTCATACCGGAGGTCCTCAATCTCCTTCCGGAGCTTAGCGTTGGTGGTCAGCATCTTGTCGAACTGTACGGTGACCTGTGCGGAGGGTGTGCTTCAAAACAGGCTCACCCCGGAGTATGAGATAAGCTTCCAGAAGGCAGCCGGAGGGCTGGGAGGTCTTCCCCCACCCCTCACCCCAGGCCCACAGAACAGTGGTTTGGAGCACTGGGTGAGACGCTTAAGTTGGCCACCAACTGGCTCAAGTGGCCTTTGACAAGTTACCTTTCCTAGATTTCAAATTTCTCATATAGTTTTATACTTCTACTTTTCAGTAATTACAGGGGAGAGGGGACAAACTAAATGACACCATGCGGAACAGTCAGCCAAATCCACAAAGCAGAACTTTCTACAGGACACCTGACCAGGTCTCTGCAACAAGTTGATAACATGAAAAAAGTTGGGATGGGGCTGTTTGAAAGCAGGGCTTCTCAAACTCAGCACTGTTGACATTTTGGGCTGGATGATGCACTGTGGTGGGGGCTGTCCTGTGCTTTGTAGAGTGTTAAACACAAGCAAGGCACTACTGAATTAACTCAGGAAGAAATAGAAAATCTGAATAGTACTCTAACAAAAAGCTGACCTCTACAGACAAGTCATTAAATCAAGCATGCACTTATTCAATCGACAGGTGTCTGCTGAGCACCTGCTCTGAGCCTCACACTGTGCCAAGCATTAAAATTCTTAACCAAAGGGACCCTTTAGCCTCACTGGGGGTTAACAATAGTGCAGATGCCTGTGTCCAAGCCCTGGAGGTTCTGATTCAGTGACTGTGGAGGGGACCCAGGAACCTGCATTTTAACACGCATCCTAGCCATTCTGAGGTATGGCTGCAAATCACTGTGCAGGGATTTAAAGAGATACTGCCTTGCCCTCAGGTGGCTTCCAGGGTACTGGGGGAGGCAGACAGAGACCAGATCAAATTTGCTCCAGCCCCTCCTGGTTAAAGATTAGTGGTCAGAGTTTTGGCAAAGCTCAGGGCTTTGTGTAGTGAGTTAGGAACAGGCTTCCCTCCGAATCCCCTTTCCCTCTCTTCTAGCTTGTGTCCTGGGAGCTGCAATTTCTCAAGCCAGATGGAAGGTGTTATTTGTACCTGCCTGGCATTCCTTCCCCCTTTCTTTTTGCTCTTCTAAAGGAACCACTTCTCCCTGACTCTCAGACCAAATAGTTAGGTAGGGCTGCCCTCTCCAACTTGGAGGGGAGGAGGGCAGTCCAACGGTAGCCACGTGACTCCAGTCCACATATTCCATTCTTTGGGCGACAGTGACTGATTCAGAGATGGAAACATGACCCAAGCTGGCCCGATGGGAACACTGGGACTTGTGACTGAATCCTTAAGGGAGAGAAGCTGCCTTTCTGCTGGTGTTTGTTCACATTGGGGGCTGCCCACGAATGACATTCACTATGAGGAGAGACGGACAGATAAAGTGTCCAAAAGACATGTTAGGAGCACCTAGATCCAGCTATGCCTGAAGGCACCACTTCTCCCTGAATTTTTCACTTCTGTGACCAATGTACTACCTATTTTTGCTTGAACCAGTTTGCATTTGAATCCTGCTTAATGCCAAAGTCACAGTAGATAGAAGGTGATCAGCAAACACCACTGTTTTCATCAATTTATGCATGTCGATACCTAATATTTCTGAGACATCAACAACAACCAAAAGGCACTAGCTCTGATACAGGCATGAGCAGATTGGCATGGGGGAGGAAAGTCTAGCTAATTCTGCCCAGTGAAGGGTAATATTTGAGTTGCGTCTTGAAACCAAGTAGGAGTTTTTGAAGCAGGGAACTAAGAGTAGGCATCCCAGAAGGAAGCGGGGGAGATCAGAGGGAGTGGGGACAGCACCATGTGCTAAGGTGCTAAGAGCAAAGAGGTGAAAGGCATCTTGGGTAACAATGGGCCAACAAGAGAGAATGGAACAGAGTGGGTGGAACAGAGTGGGTGGAACACAGTGAGAGACGTATACCATCAGTTCACCACCTCCTGAGTCAACCTACTAAATGGGTACTTCTGCCAACGGCTCCACAGACTTCATTCTTAACTCTGAGCAAAGGGAGGCGGAGCTGTTGGCAATGCTGTAGAGAACACTTTACGTACAAGATTCAAACGAGTTTCTAACACATGGATCTGTTTTTGCAGTTTCTTGGGGTTATTGGCCTCCTGTTTTTTTGTGAAGATCTGCTTTTGGTCTGTAATTTTTTTTTCCATCTGAATAATCTGAAGAAAAAAGAAAAGGAAAACCCAGCTGTGTTAACATTGGTATGGGTACAAATTCAACAGTTCACTAACTTGAGTGTGTGAAAACAAAAACTGCAATATTCTTTCTTCTCCTATAAATGGAATTCTAATTTCTCTCTCAGATCCATGCTCAATTCAGCTTAATCTTAGCCAGTTTGGGGCAAAATGAGGCGATTCAGAGTTTTTGCTCTCATCTGTGTATGTAAATTTCACTCACCTGTGGACATAAATTCCACCTTACCCTAAACCATGGTGTCCAACAGAAATTTTCCAGCAGGCACTTCCCCCCCAATGGGCCTTCTGTAACCTCGTGGAGTGTTTTTGGACTCTTGCAATGATGGGACACTAGTGGCACTTAATAGGTGGGTCATGAGATGTCACACATCCTGCAACATGTGAGACAGCACCAGACATCCAAGAATTGTCCCCTTCTAGCCAATCCCTGATAGACATGAAGCATGAATGAGGAAGAAACCTTTATTGTTTTAACCCACTTCATTTGGGGGGATGTTTGTTACTGCAGCATAACCAAATATCTCCTGACTGATACAGTAACAATTTGGAAATGTGTTCAAAGTGTAGTGGGGAGGCACTGGAAATCACAGTGGGGAAAAAGACCAATAGAGATCAGGAGATCAGGAGTTACAAGGTGGTGGAGACAGTGACCACAGTCACCTATAGGAAAGTGAAGATGGGGGGGGGGTGTCAGATCTGGCCTAAGGCATCATGGGTACTTCCATCATGCCTTCCCCTTGCTCTGTGTTCTGGTTAGCCCTTTAAGAGAAAGACCAAACCTTCTCATCCAGTTCAGCCAATAGCACTTTCATCGATTTAATCAAGGCCTCGTAGTCCTCTTTGGTTTGCAGCAGGAAGCGCAGCTCCATGGAGTTTTTCTCATTCAGGTCCAAATTCTTGGAGGACTTGATGAGACTCAAAAGCAGGGTGATCTCATCCTGCTCCTCTTGCAGGGTCTTGATTTCCTTGCTGTTAGGAAAGCAGCACATGATTAACCGTGCACCCCCAAGTTCACCTTGCTCAGATGCTACAGGCTCCTTCACCGTGAAAGGAGACTTGGAGAGGTACATCCCATGCAAGCACTGGAAGGGACCCGCCCAAGTCTTCGGTCCAGGTCTAGAATTCAGATTGCCTGCGATCCAGTTCACCGCAACTCCCATTGCTCTACCTTCATCTGGGGGCATTTTCCCCTAGGGTACAATCTGCAGCTGTGCTTGTCAAAACCCATTACCCAGACATGCTGGGAGCCCCCATGTTCTCTTTTGACCTCAGCTCACTGGAATCTGTCTGATTTTGCAGACTTTCTTTCTGGACTTTACAGCCAATTATCTCTGATAATGAGAGGCACACCCATCAGACAATTTTTTCAATTTTGCATCAGCACAGTAACCTCTAACCTCCACCGGCTTCTCTACCCAGGGTGCTAGTGATTTGTTAAATTGGCTGACATGAGTCTCCTTCTCTCTCTCCCTCTGTTACTCTGGAGAAGAGAGAGGGTGGGAGATTTGGCCAACGAGGATCTCGGACAGAGAAAAGACTCAGGAGACTGCACAACTGAACAATGGGAAATGGCACAGAGGCCAAGTTTCTGGCAAATGCTGGGCACCCTAACACCCGCTGCTCAGTGCGGTTGGCAGACCGGATACTTCAACATCCTCTGGAAGTTCGGAGAAACGCAGAACATAGGTCCCAGCCCAGGGGCTATGGATCAGAATCTGCTTTGTAATAAGATCTGCAAGTGATTCACATGCCCATTAAAGTTTTGGAAGCACCGGCTAGAGCAGTGTCTGCAAAACTTCTTCTATAAAGGGCCAAAAAGTAAATAACTATCTTCGGCTTTTCCCACCAGACGTCTCTGTTGCAACTACTCAACAAAGTAACCATAGGCAATGCATGAACAAATAAGTGTGGCTGTGCTCCAGTAAAATTTTGTTTACAAAAACAGGCAGCCTGAGCCAGACTTTCCCAAAACAGCACCATCCAATAAAACATTCTGCAATGATGGGAATGGTCTCTAGCGATGCTGTCTGATAGCACCCACCAGGCACGTATGGCCTTGAGCACTTGAAATGTGCCTAGTGCAACTGAAGAACTGAATTTTAAACTGGATCTAATTTGTTGCAAATGTGAACAGCCACATGTGCTAGGGACCACGGGAGTGCACACTCAGTTCTAGAGCATCTGGTCTTCCCAACCTGGCAGCTGGGACTTTCCCCAAATTTCAGCCCCTTACAAGGAGGTCTTTGTAAAGGTGAAGAGACAAGAGAGAGGAGCACCGGGGCCTATCTGATTTAGGCTTTCAGAGGGCTGGTCAAAGCAAAAGGAAGGTCGGTCGGCCTTGTAGGCAGGTCTAGGACTGCAACGACCTTCCCTCAGGGCGGTAGAGGCGCATGGTCAGCAACAGGGAAAAGCGGGCCCTCAAATGTCACGCCCGAGGCCCCTCACTGACACACCCTGGGTTCTGGGACTAACCGCCCCCTCCACTGGAGTCACCCCAGGGTCCCCAGCCTGAGTTCAGAAGCAGGGCCCTGGCCCGAGACCCCAGGAGAAGACAAGCCCCACGAAACCCAAACCAACATTCTCTCCTGGTCCGTTCGGTACGAAGCCCTGACCACCACTCACTGCTGGCTTGTGAGGATCTGCTGGGAGCGGAAGTTAAAGGACTTCCGACTTTCCACCATCTTCCGGAACTGCTGCTTCAGCTTCCGGAGCTCGGCCTCGGCCAGCTGCTCCTTCTCCTTCTCTGAAGGCTCCTGCAGGCCTTCGGAGTCTTTCCTCCTGTGTTTCTTCAACTGTGGGAGACGAGGGCAGGGCCAGCATGAGCAACGGGTCAGGTAGGTAGCGAGGCCCACATCTCAGCTCAAGGGCAGAGGCCAGGAAGGGGGGGCTGGAGGCGGAAGACCACCCTTGGTGATGTCAGCCGCTGCTGCCTGACATGGGAAAGCAACCCCCCCCCCC